AGAGAGAGAGAGAGAGAGAGAGCGAATGAATGTTTTACGGAGCGGGTTGTCCCAGCCCGTGAGACATGTATTTACTTAATGTCCTGTCTTGTTGTGCGTTTGCGTGAGTGCACCTTTAAGTCTAACCTTTGTAACGTCTACTGCCATTGTTAACGACCAAGACCAATTTCTCCCCGCGAGATGAATAAAGATTGTCATTGTCATTGTCATTGTTATTGTCATTGTCACTCCACGTCTTCCCACTTTTCTGTACATCCATTTCCGTGACACTTCTCCAGGTTCTTCTTTCTATTCATACAGTATGAATGCAGACTATTAAAACAGAACCGTTATAATCCGATGAAAAACTGCCTTGTCTTCCAATTAGAGCTCACAATTCCTCTTCATAATTGTGTCCTGGTGGAATCAGGCGCTTGTCAATGTTTGGCCAGGTGGAGTTATTGGTATCATCGAAAAGTTTGTTCATTTGTCTACCAATCAATGAAAAAAGTACACATCTACCTTGAATAGAAGTCTGTATACTTGCGATTGAGGAGGTTGGGGTCTCCTGGTATCAGGGTAAAATTAACGAGAAAATGGCTTCCAAAGTTTGGTCATTGCTATAGCTTAAGAGTCTTGTAAAACTGAAAATTTACATTATTTCTGCCTTAAATCAATGTGGTTCAGTAAAAGTCCACACTGAAATGTGTTTTAAAATGGATATTAAAGCTAATTTAGCCAATGCCAAACCGCGGAAAACTCTCGTATCTTCGATTTTATTATTTTGACGAGAGCCGATTTCACCACGATGAGTCCCATGTCAAACGTTTTAAATTACACACATGTTGTAAACATAGATGTGGCCACACTGACCATGTAAGAGGTTGTCGTGTGATCTGGTGTAGTTTGCTCGTACTTTGCCCATCCAAAATGTATCTGTCCTCTTGTTACTTCTTTGTTTCTTTCTTTGTAAAACTTCTATTCTTCAACACTTAGGTGACCTGTTCGTGTTGAAAGTGCCGTAATACTCCTACAAAAAAGGCTGTTTTGTTTTAGAACAAAACAAGAGTTATGTTAAAGAAAATATAGTTCGTTTTATTTTTTTTAACAGAATTTTAATCCAGTGCAAAACCACCGTACCTTCCAGTCAGAACGAACAATTCCTTTTCAGATTTTTAAAGTTTTAAATTATTTCATATGCTTTACAAATTTTGTTTCTACAATGACCAACAGTCTAAAAAAAACCACAACAAAAAACATGCCTAGTAGTTTCAAATGACATGACTTACCTTTCTATTTTCTAGTCGTACTATTGACCAAAGGTTCTACGAGTGTATGACCGTAGCATAAGCTGCGTCTCTATATAACGGGTTGACCTTTCACCTCATCAGCTCACTTTCACCTGTACTTTAAAAAGTCCACGAGTTCTGGTTGCTGTTGTTTTTGTACTGTTGTAAACTTATAATCAATCAGCTGTTGATGACATGTGAAATTTGATTACTTCACAGAGAGCACATCGCAGTCCTACTCTACGTTTTCAATTTTTCAAATTTTTTTTATCTGTCTTTTTTTTCCTTTTTCATAAAAAATATATTGTATAAGTGTATCGATTTCATGGCATTTTATAGCCTCTATTTTCTCGTTATAGTTCAACTCAGAACCCGACTCTTCTTCTGAAACACACAGGTATAAAAATCCCTCGTACCTGTCATGTCCTTGAAGTAGAGCTGCGTGAAGAATCGATTCCGGAACCGATTCCCTAGATGAGTGCTACGGAAGAAAAGCTCTGATTTATTATCTTTTTACGTAAACCAAAGGTGACCGATTAGTTTATTTATTTTAATGTTGTTTAGTTTGGTTTTTGTTGTTTGTTTGTTGTTCTTGTTGGGTTTTTTGTTTGTTTGTTTGTTTCTTTTTGTGTTTTTTTGTGGGGTTTTTTGGGGGGTGGGGGGTAGAATTCATTATTGCAACAACAGAAAATTATGCCTTGCCGTATTCCAAAATCGAGGTTATCCTGAACCTGAAGCTTTTCGGAGCCGACGAGGAGACAGGTAACTGGCTAGGTATTGGACTCATCTGAAGTAATCATCGATTCGCTGGAAGTAATTTAGTAATTGTCCTGGGGTCGGACTGGACACAAGTACGTACTCACTATCCCCCGGAAGTAATCATACACTTGTCAAGAGGTCTACAACTCCGGACATAAATCGTGGACTCCACAGAAGAAATCTCATTAGTTGAACGTAACTGAGTTCAGACTGTGGGTGGTTGGCGGGTGCTCTGGTGTGGTTTGCTTCTTCTTTCCTATCAAACATCTATCGTCCTTATCTCCCCTTCTTTTTTATGATTGTTACTCTCTTGCAACACCTCTAATCTTCTGGTGCTCATATGACCTTATGCAGTTGCGAGCGCCGTAAAACCTCTACTACAACTTAACTGGGTTCGGACTCGATTCCTACGTTTCCTAGCTTTCAAGAACCGAAAATCTACGGCTTCCGGATAAAAACGGGAACTCCCACCACTCTCGTAAAGTGAATCAATTATTTTGAAGGTCGGTCTTCCCCTCTGACACACTTGTGACTTGCCTTTTTTTCAACGTCCTAAATATCATAACAAAGTTTTTACTGTTTTTTTTAACCTCGGTCTGATAATGTTCCTCTTTTAGTCTTACAATTGTGTCGTCTGCTTACTGTAAAACTGCAAAAAAAGTCAACTGCATTATGTTTGCGCTTCCCAATTGCCTTGCCTGCATTATATCCGTAACAGTAGAGTTGTTTGTAAGTACTTATTTGAGTTTAACGCCCCTGTCAATATTATTAGGCTGCTTAACCCTATCCGTACGCCCTGGGTCATTTTAGAATACTTCTAGTACAAAGATCTCTTTCAAACGTTCAGTATTTCTCAAAAAATCATTTTGACAGATTGCTATGCAAAGCGTACGGAACGGATTAACGAGTAAACTTCCTCTTTGAAAGTGGTGGCACAGAGTTCCCTACGTCGTATGGATACGATAGTAAAACGCGACGTACGGGTAGGGTGAAGAGGCGGCACCTCCGAATTTAACGTCTCTCAGATGGAACCGAGCCAAACAGGCTGAGAACTGAGAAAATTCCGCGAAACGACCCGAGTTCTAGAATATCCAGTCTGGGTTTCGAACCAGTGCATCCGCTCCGTAGTCCAGCATGTTACAACCTAGGCTAACGGAACGACCCGAAAAGTTGTTTCCTAATTTTATCAACACTAGCTTTGCAGCAGGAATAAAATAAAATAATTGAACTAGTTGGGTACCTCTTTCGAGGAACGGACTCTTTGCTTTACTTTTCCAATCCAGGATGAACGGAATAAAAAAAATTGATTGTCGTTTCACTGAGAGTTTAGTGAGCACTGCATGTATTGTGAACGGAAGTCTCACGTGTTTTCAATGGCGTCTTAGAAGACAGACTTTCCCAAGATAATGAAACTGAAAATTAAACTACAGAGACATCAGGCTCTTTGAAATAACTGTGCACCCTTTAAATAATTCTGAATCACCGTTATTTTTTTCAAATTCGAAAGTTACGTGATTGAGAAGTTTTAGGCGGCCAAAGTGACGAACTTTTACAAATATGATAATATGTATAGACTATGTATATGACGTGGAATTTTGTTTTACCCTGACAGACGAAAGTAGACGAGCTCTAGCAATCGTTATGCTTCAAGAAACAAAAAAGGAACATAGTTTGGAATTTGATTATGATGATGATGATGATGATGATGATGATTTATGATATATAATAAAATAACAATAACCGTTGAAATGATGATGGAAGAACAAAAAAAAATTATTATTTTTATTTGAAATACATTAAAACTACATTGTAATAATACAACTACGAGTAACAATTATTATTATTTTAATTTTATTATAAATATTAATAATATAAAAATGATGATATGTAGTATATTATTATTGTTATTATTATTATTATTATTATT